CTCTTTTGGCTCTCATCCCTCCGTTTGGCATTCGCGCCTTGCAGTCGATGTTTGGCGGAATAATCGGGAGTAGAGAGTATGGCCGGTTGATGACCATTTGAATGGGACGGAATTCCGAAGTCGAAGGATCAAGGCTCCTTTAACGTAAGGCGTATCTAGATTTCCACATGAGCCCTGTTTTACGTATAAATCCGTGTTTTCTGGGGCTCATGTGGAAATCGAGTCACGCTCTTACGGCAAAGGAGCGGCGTTGTGTGAACACGGACGCGAGCGTGATCCCGGGTGATTTTTGCTTCCATGCCAGGGCACCGGCACCGGGCATCGCGGGCCGGGCACCCGGGTGAAAGTCGAGTGAGAGGTTATGAATTGCGAGTGGAGTAAAATGACGGACGCTCATTCTTCTTCCTCCGCGCGGATGCGGGGTGGAGCCAAGCCAGAATGGTCAAATGCCTCCTTTGCACATGACGAGCGGCGTTGAATGGTGTCCATTTCGACGCCGGTCAAAGGCATCCTGGTCGTAAGTATCCGCGACGATGATGTCTGGCTCGATCGTTGAATCGTTATCGAATGACCTTGATCGATAGCTCCCTATCTTAGCAATGCTATATATCGATCAAGGTCATTCGATGGCGATTCAAAAATCGACCCGCTGGTCCTGGTCGCCGAGTAGGAGGAAATCGTCTCTTGAGTCATCGACTCGAATTTAGTGACCCTCGGGGCTGCAGAAAGTCCCGAAGATTTCATGATTTCTCCTAAATTCTCTAACACATTTTGACAAAACTTCCTGGCTAAAAACGCCAGGAAGAAATGCCAGATGGTTGGAAAGACCTAGTTTGGAATAGTTTTTGACGTTTGAAACGCCTAATCTCATCTAGGACACAGTAGATGCAATTCAAAAATTTTTCTGGACATTTTCAGGAATTCTTTGACTGTCGCAAGGTGTTAAAACTGTTAGGTTGTCAAAAAATTTTGAACAATATTCTATGCCGGAGTCCATATAGCGCCCAAAAACCCCGAGTGATATGAATGCGGAGCGGAATCTACGCTCTTAACGGAGTGACTTTCACTATTACGGAGCGGAATCGACCCTTTTTGCGGAGTGTTATCTGTCTTACGCTTTCATGGTGCTAGTTCCACTTCGGATTCATATCACTTGGGATTTTTGGACGCTATTTAGACACAGGTACCAGATTTTACTCCGCGATTTTTTGAAGTGTATCATACTGATATCATGTTGGTTCAGGATGATATCATCCTGATCCGGAATTATATCATGCTGATCAACTTAACCAAGTATTTTTTGTTTCTGGAGGGGGGGCGAGAGGGGTAAAAAAGGCTACAGAGTGAAATGCACTCCGAATTGCAGCCTCGTCTAAAAACGCGAGGTTTCTACGTACAACACGGACTCGCCGATCACCTCAAGTTTTCGGTCGGAGCCTAGCGTGATGAGAACGAGTTGGCCTCTCCCATCGTCGCTCTCTGACAAAAGGGCTTATCTCGATCGCCTCATGAGCCCCAGATAGCGTACGTTTATATGTAAAGCAGGCCTCTTGTGTAAATTGAGAAACGTCGTTATGCCAGAGGGGCGACGCCATCTCGTAGGCAATGGATATCCTTGCTGACCCAATCCTCCGCCTACTGCCCCAGCTCCACACACTCGCCACGCGTAGCTGCCAAATCGCATCTGGTATCACTCGGATCGAAGGGTTGTAACGGTATAGTAAATTACGATGCAATGCCAAAACTTTTATCTGGCCCCAGAGCACGTGAATTGCGGCACCGCCTTCGATTTTTATTTCTACCTTTTGTTTAGTTTTTTCTGTTTTTTCACACGAATCTCGCGTCGGTGCTTTTGTTAAGAACAATCTGACAAGCAGTGCTATCGACTGCTCTGGTGGACCACCCTGATAACCTTATAGGGTCGTCGCGACGCGATTACCGACCATTGGCGGATCCTGCTGTTTCGCTGTAAACGCCCCGCTTTATTCTAAGCCGCCATCAATGGGTCGTGTTAGCGTCCGAGTACAGTGCGCCTTCAATTGCGGTCGACGGCAATGTGACCAACACCAGAGCTCGAATAGTTATCTCGCAAAACGCCTTGCAAAACTCTCGTCATGCAGCGTATCGATGGCCAAAGTGCGAAACCACGTATCTCCATTGCAGTGTTCCAAAATCTCCACTCCTATTATATTTTTTCAAAGAGGAAGAATCAAATCTAAAAACTTGAAAATATCACAAAATAATCTACTTATGGAGAAGAAAATTCAAGAAAGTTTTTAAGAAATAACGTTTAATAGATTTTCGAAGAAGTAATGAAATATGACAGGAAGTCTTCAACGTTGCAAACGAAGATACGTGGCTTCGCATCTTGGTAATCGATATGCTTAGTTACGTGATTCTGTATGGGTTTTCTTGTAATGGAGCCGTATGGGTTTTCTTGTAATAAAGCAGTATGTATGGAAGAAAAATACAAAATTTGGAATTGAGTCACGGCGCTTGTGCTGAGGACGGTAGCATAGAACTTTCATTGGCCTACGGGATCCATACAGAACGAGGCAACGAGGCAGTATAATCACCCAAAAGACAATCGTGCGCGGCCTTGTCACAAATGATTTTTTGAAAGATTTACTGATACGACTCGAAGCGTCACCCCTAATGTCGCCCCTTCCTGTCATCATAATTAAAAGTCCATCGAGGAGCAGCGACCGACAAGAGCCGAGTGCCATTCTCACGGTCGGCAATCCCGGGTCTCGTCTAAAGTGCCTGTATACGGGAGAGTATTACCATCTCTGTGCCGCTCTGTGATTGGTTCATCAGTTTCAGGTTATCGTGGAGCTCCTAATCTGGGCCAATATAAACAAACCCGACCCAGAGGAATGCGTATTATCGGCTGAGAAATGAATGATAATCACACTCGAAGGTTAATTTTCGGCAAAAATATCCATCATAGGTCGATCCGAACTCAATTCAGAAGTTGATCATAAAAAAATTTCAATCACATCCAAAACCACGTCTAGAACTTCGTAGAACTTTGTCGCTATCTTGTTTGTTTACATTGGGCCTAACCAAGAGCGGAGGGGCTGGGGTTTGCTTACATAGGTCCAACTCTGGGGCTCCATGATAGCCGACCAATCAGAGAGTGGCACACTTTTTCTGTAGTAAAAGGATTAAGATGGCAATACTCTCCCGTACTCTAGTCTCGTCCATATAAACGCATGTAAAAAATCGAAGGTCATCGAAGGAAACTATTCGATTTTTTTGATGGATTCTAATGGAGGAAAAAACAATGTGACCGCCTCGCGAGAATCCACACTGGCCATCGATCGGCGGTCCGAATTTTGAGCGAGTGCATGCCAGAAGAGAATATTCACCCCGGTCAAGGAAGCGGGGCGCGACCCGCGAGTTGAACGTCCGAACCGACGAATTGCGCTCATTTATTCAAGTACCCTCCCCCTCCCCCCTCTCCAACTTGTTTCCTTTTTCCGTGGCTCCCTGCCCCCCATCCCCTAATTTATGCCCCTAAACCCCCTCCGCGGAACCCCAAGGAGTCTTGTGGCCGGCCCGGCCGTCAAGTCTTTATTCGACGCGGAAGTTTTGCTCGGTCAAGTAGTCTCGCTAATCCCGTTAGTATTTCAGACGGTACCTTTTCCCCACCTTTTTTGTGCGAGTCCTCGATCGCCGCAAAAAGGTTTAGTCTGACGGTTCGGGCGAGCGATATCTCTTCCGCCAACATTTTCCTAGCCATAAGAGGTGATAATCGGTGTGTAAGTTTCGTTCGATGAAGTAGTTCTGCATACTAATCTCAAGTAGTTCTGCATACTATTCTCAAGTAGTTCTGCTTCGGGTTGTTCTGAAAGAATTTTACATTATCGTAGAATAATTGCTCCGGCGTGAGTTCTGTAAATTTTAACATTTGCAAAAAACACTGACTTTTTAAGCTGTTATCCTCGAGTTAAAAACTGGCTTTCCTAGCCTTTACCTATTCATTTACCTGTTTAATTTTGTTTGCTTCAATTTAATAATAATTACAAAGAAGAAGAAAATTAAAAATGAACCTAAAAGCGTAGAATTTTTAGGCCGTGTAAAAATTTAACTATAAAAATGTATGCAATTCTATAAAACTAGGATTGGATATACTTTACGATTAGAATATTTTTAAGCTTTTGAGCTTTAAATCCTGGAGTTGAAAACTGGCATTCCTAGCATTAGCATTAAGTTTCAAGCCATATTTTCATTTAAAAGTAAAGTAACTTTTATTCCTATTTTTGTCTCAGCCGTTTGAGTTCATACTTCGGTACTAAAATCGTGTTTCATTTAGTTCTGCTAATCCATTGTTTTAATGATATAGTTCCGGTGGCACCTCTTTACCCTATATTCTGCCGCATCAATAAAACACAAAAATAAATAGGCTCATTCTTGCGGGTCCCTTTGTTGTGTTTCAAGTTCAGAAGTCCCTCGTCTATTTTGGAACATGCCGGTTTGCTCAGAATCAGCGAGCTAAATCGTCTTCGTCGTTTTCGTTTGATTATTGGTTGTCTCTTGGTTTTCGAATGGATTTCACTTTTAAACTTTTCGGCATTGAGGGACGTTGGATACTTTACCTTTACACTTTTTTTTATATTGACATCGTAACTAAACTTTGAAACTGTCTAGTTGTGCACACTCTAAAGTTACTATGCGTTCAAAGATGGTAAAACTAGAAAAGCACTAGGTATCTCGATTTGCGGCGATGTATGAGAGCTGATTTTGAGGGTGAAAATAGCACCATTATTTCTCGTGTAATTTTGCTGAGGTGTAAATGATTAAATTGCTAATTCCTCGCTTGTCGGGAAATCTATTCTGTACAAATGTCGCAATCGTGATAGGTGTTTTTCCTGTCCTTTGTCGATTTTATCGAATGAACGAGGGTCACTTAGGTCCATTTTTAAAACGCATTTACACAACCTAAGGTAAAATTTTCCCAAGTGTAAGATTCTAAACCGGTCGATCTGTTTATCCAGAGTGCCATGAAACCACCGGGTGGATACTGCCATGATTTATTCGGGGCTTCTTTCAATGGATCGCCGTGCCACAATAGGTACTACACGTTTCTTTAAATTTATTTTTTTCTGTATCATTGTGTTTTCAGTTGTGTTTCTCTTACAGTGTTAAAAATTATGTTACTTTTAATCAATTTTTTAAACCTGTATGTTTTGTCTCTATGGTCATTGATTGAGTATTTTCGGGGAAAATCAGAGAATCTGTACTAGAAACCCTGGATCACCCCTTTTACCTCTTAGAGTTAATGTTATTCAGGGTGTCTACAAGTCCGCTGATAGTACTGATTTTTTGAGGGCGGTCCGGAAGTACTGAAAAAGTACGGAAATTCCGTAAGAAAGTCCGGAATTTGTTTCATTCTTATGTCGCAGTTCGAGCAAGAAATTCAAATGTTTAAATTTTTCGAATTTCGTCACTGGCACCGAAACGCACTGGCACCGAAACGCACTGGCACGAGGCACTGAAAAAGTACTGAATTTTTCTGTTGAGGAGGCACTGAATTTTTCGGGAATGTACTGAAAAAGTAATGTAAAAGTACTGCTTTCTGGCCAGCCTATTTCAGTAGACACCCTGTATTGCACCTGAGCCGCCATTAAGTGACACCTTGAGAGCCATCTTTTGAGTGACATATTTAAATCTTCAAATTATCAGCATAACAGAGAAGCTTTTATTGACCAGTAAACCGTAAGCATCAGGAAAACTCGTAGAATGAACAATTTAAATGTGCACCAGTAAACCGTAAACATCAGGAAAACTCGTAGAATGAAAAATTTAAATGTGCACCAAAAAATTGGCTGAAAGATGAAGGAAATTGATAACCGCATCTAGATTTCCGGAGAGCTTTTTTTCTAGAAAATCCCAGATAAGTGGAGGGATCGAAAAACGTCGGTTTCTTATAAGGGAATGGACTCCCGGGAATCAGGGAAAAATCAGGGAATAAGCATAGTCAAGAATCCCAGACACCATAGAAAAGTGTGTAGTTCGTGATTTTTTGTGAATAGAATCGAAACTAACGCCCGACTTTTTTTTTCGTGTGTTGCAGAGTCCTCAAGCCCCCCGGCGGCGGAAGCTCAGACATCTTCGGATCCCCGGAACCGCCGGCGTCGCACTCCCTGCGGAAGACGAGGACCTACGACCAGACCCCCAGTGGCACGGCGATGAACGGGACCAAGAGTCCCACCGACTCGACCCCCTCCTCCGCGGCCAGCTCCACCGGTAATAATTCACATTTCAACTCCCAAGAGAACCTCAACGGGGACGCCCCGGTCTCCGAGCCCGACGCCGCAACCCCCCCTTCCACCCCCGACGAAGCCCAGGCCCCGACGCAAGCGTCCGAACCCGAACCCGAATCCAAACCTGAGCCCGAATCGGAGCGAGTTGAAGAGGTGGAGAGCGCTCTGTCCGAATGTTCCATTCGGAGCGAGAAAGTCACGTGTCGTGCCTCCTCCGAGACCGTCACCGCAACGACTAATGGTAAGAAGTACTATCGCTCCGATTCCCACTCGCGGATTTTGGGCGACGGTTCGGAGTCGGACAACGCGCCCTCCAACGGGACCAACGGGCAGGCTTTTCGCCGGAAAAGCAGCGCCGCCGATAAGACAGGTGAGATCCGCTGCTCTCGGCCGGAGAAGAGTGGAGAGACTCTCGATCCTCCGCGGGTTGATTATTGAAATTGATAGACAAAGCTATGGACAAAGTAGACGAAGAGAAAGTAGAGCGATCCTATCGATGGAACCGGGTGGTTGCAACACTGGGGGGAAAAAAAAAACACATTAGATCTAGAGTCCAGACTCTTAAAAATATCGACAAGAAAAAATACTCCAAACCAAGCCTCTTAATTTGAGCGGATTTCCTTTTGATTTAAGCTTAAATCTGATTGAATCAAGAGTATTTTTTCTTCTCAATGTTTTCAAGAGTCTGGACTCTAGATCCAATGTGTTTTTTTTCCAGTGAATGGACAAGGAGGTAAGTAAAAGACTAACTAACGGCAAGCCACGAGAGACCCTGTCGTTAATGCTAACGACGGCAGATCCAAGGGGGGGCGTAGGGGGCGCATGCCCCCTTCCCCGTTCGCCCCCAAAACGAGGAAGAAAAAAAAGACAGCAGAAACGGAGGAAAGAAGAAACAAGGACGCTTATATTTTGTAATTATTCATGACGAATGTGACTCAAACTGCATTTCAGATGCTTTAAAATTTCGACAATTTTCTGGGGAAAGCCCCCCGGACCCCCCCTTCCGCCCCCTCCGTTCGAAGTGTCTAGATTCGCCTATGATCGTTAGTCTAACATATTTTCCTTTGGTCTATCTATACTATAAGCTCCGAGACCTCCTAATTTTGCGTAACTGGTGACGCTTAGTTCCAGCGTTCTACCGGGCCGATTTTCATGATTTTTGCGGCTATCGACGGGCAATTGTCTCTAGATTAGCCAACTCTTTTCAGATTTTCAAAATATGAACCAGGTTTTTTTATATTACGTGGTAAAGTTGCGAATTCTCCCATTTAAACAATGGAAATTTATACTTTTTGTCATAGTTCGTTTGAGCGTTCTACCGGGCCGATTTCCATGATTTTTGCGTAAATCGACAGGTAATAGGCCCTAGATGAGCCCGCTGTAATCAGATTTTGGAAAAAGGACCCAGGTTTTTTTAAAATCACGTTATAAAAGTGAGTGACTTTACAGAATGCTCCGGTACTGCTACCGCTATGCGCGGGAGGATGCGCAGTGGTCGAGGAGGTTGCGCAGTAGCTGGGTAGCCTGCGCATCAGCTCTACACTTATCTACACAAGATTCGCTCCAATGATCTCTCGCCGAGCGATGGCCGAGTCGTCTAAGACGTCGAATGCGTCCACTTAGAAGTCGGTGTTGGTTCGATCCCCGACTCATAAGATATTTAATTACTAGGGGGCTACGCCCCCTGGCCGCTACGCGGCCCAACCCCCTAAAGGCGCCCCGCGCCATCAATGGGCCGCTTCGCGGCCCTATTTTTACCCTCCTATTAATGTTAGTTTTATTTTTCCCCTAAAAAATTACGATATGAAGTATACTTTAATTTTAAAC